GTGTGTGTGTGTGTGTGTGTGTGTGTGTGTGTGTGTGTGTGTGTGTGAGAGAGAGAGAGAGAGAATAGGTGAGTGGATATATTAGTGAGCAGATTAAAGTGGCACTGAATAACTGCATGGATGGGTAATATGTGAGTGGGTAGATGAATTTTTGAACAACTGGAGTACCATTGTATAAACAAAAATGACCAAAAACTTAGTTCATGTTTCTGCCCTAATGTAAATGGACATAATTTTGCTGAAGTGAATAGGACTGAATTTAGTTCACTGACAATAATAATCATGGGTAAACGACAAGTTTCAGCACCCAGGGAAAATATAAGACCACCCAAGGTAATTTTTTCAAAAGTGATTTAGGTACCTAGGAACCTAAATCTTATTAAATGTCAATGAGACTTAAGCCATAAAAATGGGACTTAGCTACAAATGAAAATTTAACCTTCAGTCTTAGAAAGAGGAATAGGAAAGGTGCAAAAGAATTAGCAGTTGTAATGTACTAGAACAATAGCCTTTCAGAAATGGAGATCTGAGTTCCATGTGAGAACTGGCCAAAGGTTGAAATGATTTTGCTGGGAAAAGTATATTCCCTTAGTAGAAGCATAATGCTATCAATAGTTTTGTCCTCAAATCAATTTGCGACCTTTACTTAAAAGAAACCTCGGACTGGAGTATTTTTTATTTTAAATCCTGCCTTTATCACATGACAATTATTTTCATTCATTAACTCCATGCAAGCTACACAAACACAATACAAATTTAAAGTAAAACTGCACTATTAATCCATTCTTACCTTCCTGATGCCTTCAGAAGGGTTCGATACACAGTTATCTGCCCCATTATTTTTACTGATTGTCCTCCAAAGTTCAGCAAATGTGTTATCCTGCTCCAAAGGGTTTGTCCCTTTTGCTTTGAAGTATTCATAGACTGCTGAATCCCTGACAGTACCGTAAGACATATCCATTTGTTTGGACAGATCTTGAAATGTTCTGAAATTCAAGAGATGTTGAAATATTAGTGTTAACTGGTACAATAGAGAGATTTTATTAGTTAAATGATCTCCCTTTATGGCTGTCTTTAGAGAGAAACAAAACACCTACCATCAATCAGTCTCATTTGCATGTCTCTCTTTTTTCATAAAAGGAACCAAAGTGTAATTCAGCTGCACTGAAATCTTACGAGGTTTAATTTTACCTGAGTTCTTTTAGTGAAGAGGTTTATTTGGAAGCGATAACATTCATTCTGATGCCCATCAACATATTGAGATCATGTTGCTATGCTTGTGCAAGAGCACAGAGCAATCAAGTTTTATTAAAGCATGTGGAAAACAATGTTTAAAGATACAGGTCAAAATCAGCTCTCATTTAAATCTGTGTAAATAGGGAGTACTTCCACTGAAATTAGTGGAGTTACTCTGGATTCACAGCAGTGTAAAATTGGGCCAAAAATCAATACGCTAATTTTAAATGTATATAGGGCATTACATTCCAAATCTCAGCAGCCTCCAATAAAATAAACAATTTTCATATACCCACACACTGGGCCTAATTCTTATTTACGCTAAAGTTGCTTTATATCACTCTGACAGTGCAAAGGGGCCTTAAAGGGTATGTCTACACTGCAGCTGGAAGTGTGTCTCCCAGCTTAGGTAGGCAGATAAACACTATCTCCATTTGAGCAAGCTTGCTAAAAATAGTGGTAGGGACATTATGGTACAGGTTAGCCTCCCAAGCACTAGTCTGCCCAACCCCCTGGGTCTGAGCTGAGGTGGCGAGCCCATGCCACAGCCTGTGCTGCAATAGTCACATTATAATTTTTAGCATGCTAGCTCAAGCGGAGCTAGCATACCTCTCTCTACCTAGGCTGGGAGGCACACTCCCAGCTGCAGTAGAAACATACTCTTAAACATACCCTCTTAATCCACTCTGGGTCATTCACTTTCCAGCCATGCAGAATATAATTTATATCCTTTTAAGGTCCCTTTTCACTGCCAGACGGGTGTAAAGCAACATTCAGGTCAGTGAGAATTAGGCCCACTATATGTAAAATATCCATACTATCCACTCAATTTACATTAGAGCAGGGACCATTCTACCTGTGCTTTATAAGCACTTGTCACAAGGTTCAGAGTGCAATCCAGACCAATAAGGGGTTGTGTCACCACTTGTCCTGCAACCCAGGGTGCCTTATAGTTAAGGCTACGATTTAGTCATAGGTATTTTTGTAAAACTCACCAACGGGTCATGGGCAATAAACAAAAATTCCCGGTCGTGACCTGTCCATGAATTATACTATAAATACCCCTGACTGAATCTTAAGGGGTTCACTGCTGTGAGGGGGGAGGCACACGGGGGGCATTTCTGAGGTGGGTATCTGGAGGGATTGCTGCTGGGGTGGGGGGAAAGCTGGGGAGCCGCTGCTGGGGGGATAGCCTGGGGAGCTGCTGATGGGGGAGCCCGGGGCCACCCGAAAAGCAGCTGGTCCAGCTGGCCCCAAAGCCGCTCCAGCAGCGGCTGGTGCGACTGGTATCCCAGCGGCTGGATACAGAGCCGCTCCAGCAGCAGCTGCTTAGGCAGTCCTGGAGTCAGCCACACTGGCTCCTGCAGAAGTCACAGAGGTCGCGGAAAGTCACTGAATCCGTGACTTCCATGACCTCCATGACAAACACAAAGCCCTACTTATAGTGCTTTGCTGCTGGAGGTCTTAGCCTGGGATGCTCACAGCCAGCCTACAAACATATGGGTCACACATTGAGCGTCTGTGTGCTAGATAGCCCTGTACCAGCAGCCTGTTTACAGCCCCACTCTGGCTTCCACCAGTCTTGGCTACAACCAGCAAGGTGACCCCAACATGATCCTAGTGCAGAGTTTTCCCAAAACCATGTGCTCTGCAATGTCCAACCCTCTCCTGGATAGCACAGAGAAATAATAAGGTTTGGGTTTTTTTCCTTTAAAGAGACCAAAGGACATCATAGCATATTAACAGGGGTAGATACACTCTTCCCCTCAAACACAGTTCTGCGTTGTTTTATAGTAAACATAAAATAGATTTATTAACAATAGGACAGAGGTTGAGTGATGCCAAGTAAAAGAAACAGAAGCAGAGATGGTTAC